TCAATCACTGTGGTTCGCTTAAGCCTTTACTCGCCGCTCATTTCAATCGGTTCTTAAAATCTTGTGTCGCTGCTGTGGGTCTTAACCCATCCAATTTTTCATCTGGCAGTTTTCGTCAGGGCGGCGCCACTTTTGCTTTCAATTGCGGCGCTCCCACCGAATTTATTAAGGCACAGGGCGACTGGCGCAGCGATGCATATTTAGTTTATCTTAAATTGTCGACCGAGAAGAAACTTGACATCTTGCGTGCCATTTCCGTTCGTCTTTCCAACTTGACTTAATTTTTTATTTTTATTATTATTATTTTTTATTTTATTTTTTCTTTCCCCTTTTTCCTCCATTCTCATTTCACTTTTTTCCCCCACTCATTTGGGTTTGGGGTTTAATTTCATAGCCTGTAGTTTTCAATAAATTGTTCTTTTGCCCCAAAATCGTTGCGTGCTGTTGTGTCTACTAATGAGGCCCTGTTAGGGGGGTTGCCCATGTCCCCTGTCTGAATTTCACAAGCAGCTATCTCGGCACTTCGCAAGATTCTTATGTTGCCGTTCGGAATTTCGTCTTATTAATAATAATAATAATAATAATAATAATAATAATAATAATAATAATAATAATAATAATAATAAGATAATTTGAAAACTGAGACCAGAGTGACTTTCAGTTTTTGTAGGTACAGTTTATTCAACCTCGATCCATGGCTAGACTAGTAATGACCCCAATAAAATAACAAATTGATGTGACACTACCAGTTAAAAGTGAATGCCTTGTATCAAATTTGACATGATAGTAATGTAGGGAATATTAAAACATCCACTGAAGTCAATGAAGACACAACAGCAATGGAGTAATAATAGTGTATATTTTAGGGCCGTCTATGTTATTATTTAAAAAGCTCTACTCAGAGGTTCAAACGGTCTGGGCGAATGACACTCCTTCCAGATGATGTACCTAAGGACATTCTGCCAAAGACCACCGTCTGCTTGGCTTTCATCATCGGAGTCAAGGTCGCTGGTCTCCTCGTAACTTCCTTTGGCTGGCAGAAAATCTTCCACTTCATTTTGATATCTAAGAAATGTCTTGTACGACATCTCTGTCAGTTTGACAAAGTCGTCTCCTCTCTGAAAATGTCTTACGTCCACTTTGCCTGCTATAGTATCTCGGTGACAGATGAAGTAAAATCTCTCCAACAGATGACAGATAGATGGAGCGCGTGCGCACGTGGATCTAGTCTCCTACTTCTTTGGACTCGTCACGCAATCCTCCTCTGTGACGAGCCCTAGTTGGATATTAGTTTTTGTTAATTAATGTCGTTAATGACGTTAATGTATTTCAGTCGGTAAAATGAGACGCATTTAAAACTCATTTCTTGGTTTTATTGAAACATTATTGACCTTATTGTTTAAAACATTCACTGCTTTCATACTGCTTTCACAAATCCGAAATTCGCTGTAAGTCTGTTTTGACATTGGTGTTGCTTTCCCTATTTCGCTGGAGTACTCTGTCAATCGTTGCCAGTTCGTGGCTCTCGTGTCGCCGTTTCAAGGCCATGTCGCTTGTCAGAATTTACCCCTAAGAGGGCCTCACTAATTTGGTGGTTTTTGGCTTTGTCAAAACGCTTAATTTGTGACACACCCCCTAGTGTGATTCATGTCTTTTCGCAGTCGAGTCAGGTTTCTCCTCGGTCATATCGAGTTCAGCTTTGTCTCAAAGGTCAGTTGTGGTTTCTCCTCGCTAGTTTTACCCTCCCTACCCTCCCTGGGTTTAATTTCATAGCCTGTAGTTTTCAATAAATTGTTCTTTTGCCCCAAACTCGAGGACTATTACTAATAGTCCTCTAGTAGCGTAGCCAATTAAAATGCAGAATTTGCATGGTTGTAGCGAAAACTAAGACCCCCGAAAACTAAGACCTAAGACCTAAGACCCGAAAACTAAGACCCGAAAACGAAGACCCGATAACGAAGACCCGAAAACGAAGACCCGAAAACTAAGACCCCCTGTGTTCACTTTTGTTTGATTATCGTTTCCTTCGTCTTTGAGTGGGATTTATTACAAGTTTTGCCAGGGAATGAAAATTTTTTTTTTCACCCAAATCGTCACTTAGCATGGTTTTGCACTCACCCCTTCAATTATTATTACTGAACGGTAATTTAATGACATTCACAACCATTCAGTTAGCCCAAGACCAACTCAATTACTTCTACTTGGCCAATCTCAAAAGGTAATAAAACCAAAAACCAAAACCAAAGTAATTGCCCGATAACTTTCGACTCTCAGTTTAAGATAGCTCTGAATGTTACCTCAAACTAACCTCGTTTCAACCCTTTAAGCCCCTTGAGGTTTACTCACTTAACACTTAACTGAATGGACTAAAGTGTGTCATCTCACCATTCTTCCGAATGAAACTGTCCAGAAATGCTCATTTCTGAATTCTAGCACTCCATCTAAGGTGGATGCCTGCAAAAAATATCAACAACACAAGTGAAAAAAAAAAACATTGTAGAGGAAGCCACAATGGATGACAAAAGTAGCTGAGACACTTTTAGAAAATGGCACTTTTCTTATTCTATTTTATCTGCATCTAGCATTAATTCTCTGATACCCCCAGCCCCCCCAATTCAATGTTGTGTGGGTGCTGTGGTCTGTGCAGTCTAAAAAAATAGAAAAATCAACATTGTTTGGGGAGGAAGGGGAGAAATGTTTCCAAGACATTCAAAAATCGATTTTTACTGCCAAGTGTCTGAACACTTTTGTCACCCATTGTAGATACCATGTTAAGTAACAGGTTGACTGTTTCTTATTACTATCTTACGTTATGGGAATGATGAACATATAATTCAGTGGTGCACTGTTTGGGGGGAGGGGGTGGGGGAGCAGGTCTTTGGGTAACCACTGGAAGTGGTTGTGGGATGATTCTAACAACAGTGAATAAAAGAATTTTTGAATCAACCTTCGTCCCAGTCAAATTAAACCGGATGTTCTTTTGTCAGGAACTCACTGTAATGTTTTCACAACTTTCAATTCAAATTGTAAGGAAAGTTGTAGGTTAAGAGAGGTAAAAAAGCACTGCTGTCTGTATTAATAAGTACCTGTATAAAAAAAATTAAGTTGAGAGGGAATAAATGGGCTTTCTACCTGGACCAAGAAAACTATTTGCACCAATAAAATTAGCAGATGCCAACAACTGTGGTTCACCTTTGCAGCTCAGAAGCTTTTCAACAACTAGATACAATGTATAGAAGATAAATTTACCTCTCTGAGGCACTTGTCTATCTGGCTCATAATATCAGTGGGACAAGTCTGAAAAAAAGTAAAATAAAAACATAATATCATATTGTCTGAGTTCTCTTGGTGTTGTTATAGATAGTTAATGTGTCAATCAGGTGTGGTTATGACATATTACCAGCCAGTGAGTGACTTCCCACAGCATTGTTAAAATAATTTATTGTTGTATTTTCTAAGATTTAAGTGTAAACCAGTTTACCTAAATTCTAAATTCTAATAAGGGCCCTGGCATCCACTGTAATTGGCTTTGCTGTACTGGTCTCCCAGTCTAATGAATTTTGTTGTATATAAGTTAAGTATTTTAGTTAGCTGAAGTTAAATAAATAAATGGTACAAAATGCCGCCGAAGGGAAAGAAGATGTAAGGAGTGTCAATGCAGAGCAGGGTTGTTCCCACACAGAATTCAGGATCATCGGTAAGTAACAAACTAGTTCAGTGAACCTCTCGGATTACAGCACTCCACAGCACTAAGCTTCATTACATTTTCACAGCTCTCTTACAGACGAAACTCACACTCTTATATTAGTACACCTGGAGTTCCCAGAAAAATCTCAAAAGAATTAAATAGCATTATTGCAAGGTTTCTAAATATGAAATTATGTATTACATGGGAAATGTATCATTCACGAAGGTTTTAGGTGACAGCTGTATGACTTCTGGTTCAAGTACTCTGTAGAATTTTAATGAAAACAACAAGCCGTAAATTTAATTTGCAAAGGATTGGAAGGAAATATATTCTTCCCCCATGTGATTTCCAAAACAGAGTAAGGTTGTGCAGAAAAAAAATTTAAATGGTAACGGCAAAATCTGTGATTTTTTTGAAATAATATACTAACTTCAAAAGATCGCAAACAAAACTTGATGATAGTGAGCTCTGCTTAAAACTATAAAACAGATGCCTGGTTAAAAATTACAACTTTGCTTGCTGTTGTGGCAATTTCCACAGACAAACTTGGTTCTCTGTCATGGCGGGCACCTCTGACCTACTAACTTCTTCACTTCTGTAATTATTATTTTCCAAACGACTTCTGTTAGTTTTAGATGAGTCTTCTAACTGTTTTTCTTATTCCTTTGCCACAAGAGTGTTTTGGTTGGATATTATGGACTGATAAGTTCCTGATAGCTTTCATCACTGCTCTCATTGATTGAAGAGAGCACATGGAAAACAGCTCATCTCAATCCCTCCATTTGCACATAACCACAATTCCTTGCATCTGTGATCTTACTGCTGACCACAATTCCTTGCGTTTTGCACGAAAAGTGATTGAATGCCCCTATATTGTAATTTTTTACTAATAAGATCTGCTGCCTCTTCTTTTCACTTCAGCCTCACTCACTGCAGCAGCAACAAATGACGCAAATGGTAATTATGGTGTGGTAAGTATGTCATTCTTTTGCATGCAAACATGGAATAGTTTTTGCTTCTACTGTTACCTTGCCATCACACCCTCCCTACCTATATCTTTCTCCCTGCAACTGCCGAAAAAGAACACCTGAACTTATTTTGCAACCACTCCAAGATATTTCCAACTAAAGATAAAGCAAATATTTTGTGGTTGTTCTAGGACCTTTCGTTTGTATGAAGAATGCAATAAAACAGTTATAAATCAATATGAATCTTTACACCCTCTGAATAGATCAAAAAAATTGTTTCATCATTGAGAATTTAACTAAAAGAACATATTTTACAATTGTGTGTATGGAAAAGCTATTCAAAGCTGTGTATTATGCGTCAATAATCTCTTGAGTGATTATATGACATGCTCAGTACGTCATGATTTTTTTCGCTCAGGTGCCTATATGATGTACTGTTTACATTAAAATGTTAAGAGATTTACTTAAACTCCTCGCATACCAGAAGCAGCTTTTATTGACCGCCAAGAATTTCAGAAGAGTTTGACTGCTAATTTTCCCATGGTTGTGACATCATAGGGATATCAAATTACATCAGACTCAGCAAACTTAACTGCATTGAAAAGGCATTTAATGATCTTTCAGAAAATGTGTCCATGTCTATAGTCAAAGTGAAAATGCTCATGGTATTAGACGTTTTTTACCAGACACTCATTTTCAGTGAAAATGGTGTGGCACACAGCACACAAAACCCATTACTTGCTGATGATTTCAGTATACATGTACATAAAGGATAAAGGTTGATCTGAGTAACTGCATTGTAACTAATATATAGACAACAGAAGCAGCAAAAATTAGCAATGTTATATTTTGTTATTATTCTATACCATCTTCATCTTCGAAAACATCAGTCTGAAGATGGTATAGAATAATAACGAAATACACCATTGCTAATTTTCCTTGTATCTGTTGTCTGTATATTAGTCACAATGCAGTTAGTCAGATTAACCTTCCTTTATACACAGCATACACATTGGTCTGGTACTCAAGGGATTAGACACTTCCACAGTCAGTAACTTAAGGAGGGGGGTGAATACAAGCATCAAGAGTTTCCCGCTTCTGGTTTTCAGGCAATGCATTATGGGATATGCGCTCCAGAAAAGTGAGCACCACTCTTGAATCTGCGCCATTACTGAATATTCGTTTCATCTTCGCGTCTGGTTACCTTTTATTTTGTCTTACTTCTCCGTCTTTAATTCATCTTCTACCAATCCTAATCAACTACATACGTCTAAAGTTTCAAGTGACGGTTTCCAGATAATTTTGAGGGAAAAAATTACATTTAAAGTTGTGATTTCAGGCGAAGAATTTCTGACCGGCTGCCATGAGTTCTGAGGAGTCAGAGGAGTCTAACTTATGATGAGGTGAACTCTTGGCGTTCTGACGCTCTGAAGCTTTATTGCCGTCAACAGGGCTTGAAAGTTTCCGGAAGCAAGCAAGAACTGGTTGCTCATGTGTTTGCAGCCTCGGAAATGGGAATTCCTGTCCAACCGACCGCTGAACACTCTTAAATGAAAAATCTTATTGTAAGAAATAAATTTCTTAAAACAAATCTCCAGTTAAGAAATTTGGTTTTGTTAAATAAAATTTCTTGTTTTAAGATTAATTCTTATTTTAAGAAACAGTTTCTTACTTTGAGATTCCTTATTAAAATCCTTAATTTAAGAAGGAATGCTCTTATTTCAAGACAAGATTATTTTTATTTTCAAGAACAGTTCAAGAATATTGTTTCTTTAAAATTAATTCCCATTTTAAGAGCACTTTTCTCATTTCATGTAAGTATATCAAGAAGTATTTCAAGAATTCCTGTTACTTTCACTATTCTGGACAAGATCAAATCCATTTACAGGTCTCTCCTATGGTGCTCAGTGTGAGGATAACCAAAGCTCTGAGGCCAGGGACAGTGTAGATTAAACACTTGTGGATGTAGTATCACATATACTTAAGTCTTGTAATGCCATCGCTGTACTTATTAGTAGAAAAATACAATGCTCTATGCAAAGCAATGCACATAAAAACTCAGTCTTTTATTTGTAATCCAGCTAGACATTGGATTCACAACAGGACATTAAACTACTTCATAAATGCTTAATAACCATTTTTTCTGTGTGGAGAAATAACCACATAATAACAATGGCCACACTCCATTCAACCAAATACTCCGGAAATCAGTCCACAAGCAAGTTTTTGAAATTTCAGGATACCTCTTGAGGCTGTCCCAATGCTCCAGAATTCAAAAGAGGAGTTTACGATGAAATAAAAAGCACACAATGTATGCTACTAAATACCATTAATTTATCATGCTCTAACAACTAGAGTCACATTCAGTAAACTAAAGATAATTTAAATTCAGAGTAAGTGAATGTTACATACCACAGCCTTGGAGTTTAAATTGACCACTGTAGCTCTTCAAATCTCTTTTCTTACAATAATCCTCAATTATTTCCAAATGATGAATTGATTTTAACAAATGATACACAAACAGGAGAAATTGGACGCTTGTTGGAAAAAAAATCCTAAATAAGATGTTCCTGGTCCTGTGTAAGACTCCATGGCCACCAGGAAAGGGTTGAATTATCCTACTTTTATTAAAGGATACATGTCGCAATATATTAACACGTCTTGTCAAGTGAAATCAAATTTCTTTGAAGTAGGAACAAACCTCAACATGATTTTTAAGTAGAGGCTAATGACAAAGAGTGGTGGACATAGAATATTGAGACTGGTTATCTGAATGTTTTACTGTATTCAAAATTTAAAGTCCTTGCAAAAAAATATAATTTAAATCTGCAACACAGCCCCTTTAAATATTCCTCTCACTGAAAATTCTACCATAACCCATTTACTTTAACATCTGCATTTCTTTACTTATAGTGCAATTAATAATTTTTTTTTGAGTCAGTGATAAAAACCCTAAACAAACCTCTTCCATGTATATGAAAACATAAGCCATTTTCTGGCTTTTTTGTAGTAAAATCATCATAATATCCTCATGGTTCTTATAATAATACCACAGTAAGAACCATTTAATGTACAACCTTACAAATTTAAACAGAATACACAAAATATATGGCACTAGACTGNATCCTCATGGTTCTTATAATAATACCACAGTAAGAACCATTTAATGTACAACCTTACAAATTTAAACAGAATACACAAAATATATGGCACTAGACTGTTGCACTTGCAAGGATGATCCATTATTGCTATGTATTTTGTACATTCTGTTCACACTGAGAAAGGTTGAGTTTAAATAGCCCTCAGTGAGGTACAATTAAGTTTCTAATGAAACAAACAACTGTATTCCCAAACAAAACTCCAAGGAAGTTTACATAAAATATTCTTTGAATGTAATAGCTTTGTAGTCAATACTGAAGGCGTAATGAGTGCACAACAACATAAAAAGACAAAGAAGAGGTCTTCACCTCAATGAGGATCCTCCTGTCAACAACCACAAACAATTGCATTAGTCCACTAGTTGGGTGATACTAAAGTGCCTTATTGCCACAGTGCTATAGTGCCTTATTGCATAGTGCTTTAGCGACGTCAACCCCCAAACCATCCCAATAGAAAACTCTGCACTAAAAATCAGCTTAACTTAAGAGCTTACCTTCGCTCGTGGCTGTTGCTGATGTCTTCTCTTCCTCGATAATTTTCGTCAAACAGGAATTAACATCATTTTGAAGTTTTCTCAGGGAATACACTAGGCTTTGCAAACTCTCTTCTTTTCCTTCACAAGATTCACTTGAATGAAGATCGTGCTTAAATTCTATCAATGCGCCGCTTCTTTTCGTCAACACACCAACTACCGCCATTTTGATTCTACTAGAACCTAGTCCCTTTATATTGAAGTCACGGCCAAAAAGTAAGCAGGAAACGCCTGCTTTGAATCGCTGTACTCGGCTTCGTTTCGAAAATGTTTCTGAAGGGTGGTAGACCTTGGTAGATGGCCGATTCTACGGAGAAGTCTTCAACAGATCAGGAAATACGAATTGTTTGGTCGTGGTTTAACTGCTGGACCGACCATCAAAAGTATGAGTTCATGGATATCCTTGCAAGTAAAGTGACTCCTGGTAAAGTATGTTCTCTTTTTGGAGCCATGGAGTCTCTCTCGCTTGGAAGTCCGGATGTGTTTCACTGCCAGCTTCGAATGTTTAACAAGTGGTTTTTGCGTTGGACTGACCACGAGAGAAACCTTTTTGTGGACGGTCTAGAGGAAAGGGACTACCAAACAGTTCAATACTTCTATGAAAAAGTGTCACAAACTGCTGATCAGGAGTAGTAGAGATGGCCAGTTGAACTGTATGTTCTGTATGTTCAGCCGCTTCTTCTTAATGGTGTTGGGTAACGATTTTTTCTGAATCTAGCCTTTACATCAAATCGGGGGGGGGGTACTTCCTTATAAGAGGCTAATGGGGATGTGCTGCTGGATGGAGTTGCATTTTCACAACTGGATTGACTATCATGGGGTCGCATTTTCAATAGAGTTACTAGAATGGGGTCGCACATTTTCTGATTTTTGAGGTAAGACAGTTCTTCATATTTACAGTTAGCAAAATTACCAGAATGTTTGTACTGTAGGTGAAAAGTAAAGTGGTCTTTATTCAATATAAAGTACATTTATAAATAGAAAGTGACTAAGTTGGGATCGCGAAAATTACATATTCACCCAAAAGTGTTTAAGATGGAGTCTATAATTGGCCACAGAATAGACTATAATGGGGTAGGGGCTCTGAGAGGCCAGCAGCACATATCCAGCAAAAACTAACCCACATACCTCCCCCAGGCATCAAATGTGACAACTTGGTGGTGAGCTGTGGTGAACACAAGTGGTGACGCTTTCACAGTGGAGGAGTATAAAGAACAATATTATTAACTGGAACACTGATAAGTGAGTGGTCACTTTGCCTTCCTTTTTGGCAAGGGAGGCAAAGGAAAGAGAGAACCTGGTACCAAGGTTGACTACTGCTTTGTAGTCCTAAACATTCACGAAGCGAAATTTTACAACCCTAGAGCAGTGGCGGATCCAGAACTTGAGCTAAGAGGGGGGCCTGGTTTTGTTTTACTTGCCCTGCCGGCTTTTCTTCCTTCTGTCATTTATTCTTCTTTTAAGGCAGGGGACCGGGCCCCTGGGCCCCTCCCCTAGATCCTCCACTGTAGAGTCCTTATTATTTAAGAGAATGATTAATGCGCACATGTACATTAAATTATTCATTAAGATAAATGCATTTTTAAATACACTTAAAAGTTCGTACATAAACATTCCTTTAGAGATTAATAAATTATTTCCTTTGTTTGTAACCTTATACTTAAGTGAACTGAAATTCATCTATGCCAACTCTCCCAGATTATCTGGGAGTAACCCGGATGTGGACCGAGTCTCTACCGTACGGGTCGCCAAATCTCCCAGGCAATACAAATGAAAGTGCATCAAATACATTTTTCATTCAGAAACATAACCATGAAATGAGAAACAGAACATTAAAAGATAAATAAATAAATAAAAAGATTTACAGGAAAGGACCATCTGAAGGTACTCCATTGAGAAGAGCATTCTACAATTCAGATTTACACCTTTTCATTGATGTTGTTTCACTTATCAATTGCATGCAGTGGAGAGAGGCACCATAGAGTAAAGTGTCTTGCCCAAGAACAAAACACAATGTCCCTGGCCAGGGCTCAAACCCAGACCACTTGATCCGGGGATGAGTGCACTACCTATGAGGCCACCGTGCCTCCTGAAAATTAGTTAGGCTACAAGTTTAATGTTGGACTTCCAATTTAAAGGCAATTTGCAACTGTCAGAGGCATTCATTTTCTTTTAATTTCTACCAGCTGAGTAAGTGACTGTGTGAAAAAAAATTGTGAAAAAATGAAATGGTTTCCGATATGGTGTAGTCAGTGTTCAGTTCATTTTCAAGCTAACAATTTTACCAGTCACTTAAATGAGTACACATTTTATTCAACAAGTTTGGAGGGGACCACATAAAGTGTTTTGAAAAAACACAGAGAAAGAAAAGTTTTTTGACACTCATCAAAAGGATTCTACATTGCATTCTTCCATGTTTGAACAACAAGTATTTAATTTCTTTCCTATGATTGAGAGGCTGCTTTACTCTGACAACTTTGTTGAATGAGAAAGTAGTATATTAAACTGTTATGATATTTGTCACTTGAAGATGTGTTTTTTTTCAGGAACTTAGCACTTATAAAATTGCACATGGGTATCAGCCAACTTAATTCCAAATTTTACAGACTGAGGGGCTTTTTATTAACTGTTTGTCTCCCAGGGCTGAATTAATCACCTGTAGTTTGTACCTTGCAGAATTTCCAATGGTCAATGTTCAAGCCAGGTGAGTTACATACGGGGTGTGTGCACGTTATAGTGTACAAAACATTTACTGTTGCAGTTAATTGTTTTTCCTGGCATGACTTTCCCAACAAAGTACAGTGAATGCTTCCCATAAAATGAGCAAGAGATGTCTCCCCCCTGTAGTTGTGACAAATCTTGTTTTTGTATTTTTTGGGAAGTCATGGTGACCTTTTGTTGTTGTCTTTGTAAACTCCCAGCTATTCACTTAAAAGCTCATTGGATGTCTTGTCTCGTAATTTTGATTCTTTCTTCTGCTGATATTCTGCTCTTCTCTTTTGTCTTTCCTTTACTTCATCGATTCCCATAACTTTCCAAGCAGGGTTTTTTGACCTCATGTTTTCTTGAAGGACCATTATAAAATCCTCATGTCTTCTTTGTTCTGCTGCTAAGGCCTCACGTGATGTAGCCTCCTCTGGCAATTTCTAAAGTAACAATAATCAAGTTAATAAACAAAAAGATCTATTCTCCATTAAGCATGCAGGGCATTGAGTCATTTGTTCCATCTTCCAATAACTAACTTGAAACCTTGATTGCCCTTAAAAGTTTGAGCTATTGGGAGTCAACTTTAAAGAACTCTGTGAAAAATGTTGTGACCAAAGAGATCTGAACCTAACAGAACTGCATCCTTTGTTAATTTACGTTCTGATTGGTCACAAAGAGGGAGACACAGGACTTTGCAGTGTTGTGGTGTTGATTGTCTTTCTAATGCAGTAATAATGTGGTGAATAAAATCCCGCCTTGCAGTGCTGTGGTGATCTCAAACCCTATGGTGTGTGATTTGTGTTTTTCATGCTACAGTGTTCAGTGAAATGAAATTATTTGCAGTGCTGGCATTTCTTGTTAGACCTTTCTCCGACCTAAATTTAGCACGAAAACTTCCTTGATCTGTGCTAATTTATAGTTGCATAGTAAGCGCAACACTTACCATTGAGCCGCTTTGGGGGCTGCAATGATTTTACTTAATAAAGCTATCCATCATAGTGTTTAAAATACAAACCAACCAATACAGAACAACACTGTCTAGTTAATCTTCAATATGCCTAAGCTGCCAATCTGAAGCTGTTTTTGACCTTTACAGGAGTCAGCAGTATCGACTCATAGACAATGACCAGCATTGTGATATGTTTATTTTGTAGAAAATTGATGAGGTATAAAAGTTCTATGTCAAGTGTTGACGTTCAAATCAAGGGGCTAAAAATATATGTTGCGGTGACGCTGTTTCGTTGAATTTTATTGCGGTGATGCGATATTCGTTAATTTTTTTGGCAGTGTTGCAGTGTTCAGAGGCCCCCAGTGTCCCCCTTCACAGTGTTGAGGAGTCAGGAGGGAGAGTTGTTACACTGCCAATGTCATGTAGATAACTCATACGGTTGTTATTTACTTCTATTAGAGGAGCTTGTTTGAATCTTGAAAAATTTGTTTCCGGGGTTGAAGTCAACCCCTCCTCCTTCCCCCTCCTATACACACATTGCACAGTTAGAAGATGGCGCAACATGGTCTGTTACTGGTTCCTATTCATTGATTTGTAGCACTAGCTATGAGCTGTTTAGTTATTCTTTAGGCTTCATCGCAAATCTTCTTGTTTGTTTAGAGAACTCTCCAGATATCCAGTTCAGGATGGCAGGACTGCACGCAGAGTTCTTCACTGAGGCCGCCTTAACAAATATTTCGCAGGTAAATACCTTTAGCATTTCTTCTTTAGATGGTACTATGGCCTTCATTAGAATCCAAGCCACGCCTAAACCACCAAAAGTAATCCCAGAACTTAGCAAAAGACGGTACAGTCTGTCGCTAATCATAATGCCGTTGGCTCTGACTGTGCTTATGTAACATGCATGGTACAAAGCGATGAATAACTCGATGAATAATATACCAGGCAACCGACCAGGCGACCAAGCTATTCGATGTTCAGATGTTCATGAAAGGACTGGGTACGAGACCAATCTTTTCGCCTAAAAATGGCTCTGTCAGAAGAGGACATAGCTTCCTCCCTCAGTGAACCAGACCAAGCTACAAAGGGCTTTACCTTTCAGCAGACCATGCTTAGGGTAAAGGACCCTAAAGTGTCGTTGGATTTCTACACACGTGTAATGGGTATGAGGTCTGTACATTGTTTCTATTTTACCAAGTGGACGCTTTTAATGTCCGCACCATCCCGTTGAGGAGCTTTGAATTTTACCCCTTCAGAAAAGTAAACTTTTTACCTCCCCCCCCCTCCCAAGAAAGGAAGACCAAAGTGCCGACACACTTCCCCGATCAGAATTTATTAACAGATCAAAGGTGTGGACGCAGTTACCCCCTCAGGAACGGCTTTTAAGACTCCTCCCTACGGTTACCTAGTACCTCAATAGGAGCGGTGGGGGGAGTGGAGGGGGTGCAGATAAAAAATGGAATGGCCCAATGATTAATCATAGCTGGGGAGGTAGCCTCTTTTGGTAGGATATACCATATTCATATTGTTTTACTGTTTTTCCCAAGAAGAGGTCAATTTCTGAAGGGAGATGGGCACGGGGCAGAGTGTCAGAATTTCCCGCACCCTCTTCACCTGCGTCTCTTATACCTTTATCTCCCGACTCCCTCCCTCTTTCGTCCTACTCCTGTCCCTTGTAAATTAGGAGACTCAAACAGATCTTACTCATTTAACTACAAATTCATAAGCAGAAGTAAGTCTCTTTTTCGGCCCAAGCATGAATGTTTATTTGCTCATTTGCTGAGAAGTATCAGAGAAGTCTCAGAAGATGCTACAGGTCAAATAACATTTTGGGTTCCTGTTTTGAAAGTGTTCTGCTGAAAATCAGTGTTTTGCATTTCTCTCCCGTTTCCTGCTCTTTTTTCTCCTTCCTCTCCCGTACCCCCTCCCCATCCCCGTTCCCTCCCACATTTGAGATTTTATAGGGAAATTAAGGAAGTTAATATCTGTAGACATGGCAGGTGTTGATTTTAGGGGTAGTTTGGGAGTTTAGTTGGACTAAACACTCGCAGGAGGCTTTGTCCCAAAGGGGTACAGCCTTTTTCAGGCTGTAGGTATATAAAAGGTTAAGAATTTCACGAGGTAGGCCTGGTTGTTCAAAAGGTGGTTAACTTCAAAAGACAGACTGAAGCTAATTCACTGATAAAATATACTGTTTTGTGTTAATACCAGTCCAATTCATGTTCTAGGCTTTTAAGGAAGTTCCACTTCCCAGAAATGAAATTTTCACTGTATTTCCTGGGATTCGAGGAAGCAGGCAGTATTCCAAATGATGCTGATAAGAGAACCAAGTGGCTTTGTGCCCAGAAAGCCACTCTGGAGTTGACTCAGTAAGCAAAATATCACCTACATCAGCACTTAACCCGAACAGTCGGTTAATAGGTGTCTTAAATTACTCAGTGATCTAACCAGTACATATGAGTGGTATGAAGTAAATAGGTAACCTGGAATACAGGCTGCCCAAGCATTTTGTGATAGATAATCCATTAGAAATATCTAGTGTGTCCTTCTTGCCATGTAACTGCATTTTCAAATTTTATTTCATTTTTATGCCAAACTTGTACCTCATTTTGAGACCTGTTACACTGACTGTAGTGTTATAGAAATTTCTAGTGGTCGAGTTAATATGAAATTCAAGCTTAAAATAGCATGTGCTTTCTTGTACTCCATTGTGTCCTGTAATGTCATGGTTGGTTTATATGCAGTTCTGGTAAATGTTTTTGCTCAAGCCTTTGATAGGAAATGACATTGTTTTGCTGGTGAGAAATTAAAAATATGTACATCCGGGTACTGTGCTAACAAAGTCACTATCTCAGCTTATTTGTTGCATTCATGTACTCATTAGGAATGTTTTACAAGTTTGATTTTAAATCGAACAATATTCTTCATGTTTGATCTTGCCAGTAACTGGGGGACTGAGGATGATCCCGAGGTGAAGTACCACAATGGAAATTCTGAACCTAAAGGATTTGGTGAGTGTGAACTTTGTGGGACAAAAGCATTACTGCATGTTTCAATAACATGCGGTCTCTAAATTCAAAGCTTAACCGACAAATGCTACCATCAATGAAATGTTCAGTGGCTCCTCCCAGCTTTCAGCTACTGCCACACACATGGTAATCAAATTTTTGAGTGCTGAGTTCAGACAACGAAACAGTGCTCAGCAGTAGTTGTTAGCTGGGAGGAGCTGCGAACATAATTGTGATTGATGGTAGTGAAAAACGCGTTTGTCGGTTCAGCTTTGAATTTTAGAGTCTGCATGTTATTGAAAGGCACAGTAATAATTTTCTGACAACTGGGTCTTAAGTCTTAGTTTTTGAGGTTTGGAGGGGTTGTTAGTTGTTAGGTGTTTCTGAGACACCCAAAAAATAACATATCAGGTGGCTATAAGAATATTACAAAACAAAACATTTTTCATCAGTTATGAGCTTTTCAGTTCTTGCATTGTAAACTAGACTGTTTAAATGCTTTCTTGTCTTGTTATTGTTGTTGCTGTTTGAATATTCCTTGAAGTTAATAATCTCATTCAAATTAGTTGAGATTGTTCGCTTTAGAGAGATGTGCAGCATGAGGTCCATATAAAAGGAATAATGGTTGAGTGTTCATGCACCAAGCTGAAGGCAAGATCCATAAAATTGCAGAAAAAAAAAGAAAAGAAAGAGACCAATATTTTCTAATACAGACCAAACAAGCTAGTTCAATAAGTTTTTATTTATGGCTATTTTTAATCTGCTGATAAATTGATGCATCCCTGCAATCCATTCTCAGTCAATGCAGGCATGTAAAGTAGGCATTTCTAACATTGCTTTTGAGAACATTTAACTGAAATTGTGCTTCATACATGAAGGTAAAAATATTTCTCCTTAAGAAAAAACTGTTTATTCTTTGTACTGATGACACAATTTGCCCAAATCAATTGTGCGCGGTCCTTCTAAGCGGTCTGTATTGCAAGATTCAGACCACTCAGGGAACCAATTCCTTTTATCATCAGGGGCCTGTTCATCCATATAATAAATGACAATACTGAATAATCACTTTGAACAATGTTTTTGTTCCACTCAAGGACATATTGGTTTCTCAGTGCCAGATGTAGAAAAGACTTGTGAGCGATTTGAAAAGCTGGGGGTCACATTTGTTAAGAAACCTAATGATGGTGAGGTTGTTCTTCATACCGTTTTCATATTTAAGTTTGACTTCTTGAACTTGGCCTCTTGAAACACAATTAACCAATGAGAGGATAAATGTTTCTGCAAAACAAATGTTAACCACTGTTGTTGAAGAATACGAAAAAAAAAAGTTGTACAAGGAATTACAGTGTGACTACAATTCTAACCGAGGCCATCTGACAAAATTTTCTACAAATTCAGTGCATAAAAATCGTGGAGGTTAACAATATTTTTCTAACAAATTATCGAAAGTGACCACAAATCTGTTACCTTTGAAATGTACAACTTGATTACAAGCCAGGGTAATTTGTTGGAAAACTATAATTAACCTGTATGATTTTTATTTGTTAAATTTGTGGAAAATTTTGTTCGGTGGCCTTGGTTGGAATAGTCACACTGTAATTGCTCAAAAAAAGTTGCAGACATCCCAGGAAACTTTCATTTTTGGATTGATTGGTTAGATAGGTGTGCAGTGGTTCAAAAAAACCAACAGCTAAAAGCCAGGTAGTTACTTACTAAGCATCATGCAACAATGCATTTTTGCCCCTGAAATCTTTTGTCGACCTTGAATGATGTAAAGGAGTACCGGTAAAATGCTTCTACTTAAAAGTTGCCATTCATTTGTTTTCTTCAGTCTATTTCTTTCCAATAATTGGTTGTGCTTTCATGCAATGACACACTGAGGGAATAACCATTACATTACTTTGTGCAGGAGTCTGTTTAGTTGCGCTGTATTGTTTGTTCTTTAATTTATGTCTGTTCTTGTGTACCAGTACACAAGAACCAAACCTAATAATTATTATTAGGGCCATGCAATGTTTATTGTCTTTTATACAACTGTTTTTTGCCCTTACCATTTTGTTAGGTAAAATGAAAGGAATAGCATTTGTTCAAGATCCAGATGGATACTGGATTGAAATTCTGAATGGTGAAAATCTTGTCAAGGTTACAAGAGAGTTTTCATCATAGAAAGGCTATTATGACCTGTTGGAGACTCCATCTAAGAAGTGCTTAGACAACATTTCAGGAACACCATTTGAGTAACAAATTATATTACCGTCTTCCATGCAATATCTAGACACTACATGTAGTTAAAGAAATATTGTTTGTTATACTATTAAATACACTTGCACTCCTGTTAATTACCATTAGGAATTATGTGAATAAAGCTAAATACTAGACTTTCTTAAAGATTTAATTTGTTGTGTTTTAAACTTGTGGGATCATGCTCAAAATACTGTCAAAAATGGTTGAATAGGTGTATGGGTGAGTAGGGAAGGGGACTGACCTGTGGGGAGTAGGGGCAGTACACACCATCATGTTTGGAAAACTTTCATTAATAATTTGGTGGGTAGTGGGGGTGCATTGTCAGCTCAGTGTGATGTTAATGGGAACAGCCGAGTATTGAGTAAAATGGAGGATAATGTTTAAGGATAAAAGATTGTCCAAAAATGAACAGTTGGTCTGGTGGCAAAGATTCTACAGTGACTATGAAATTCTTACTTCAACATATCAATCATTGGCATTAGCCATTATCCTCTGATATGCCAGCAAGCTGGCAAGGTGTTTATTTAATATGTAATTATCTTTGTTTGGATTGCTCTAACTTTAACATCATGGTGGTAAAGAGAAGAAAGTTTCATGCATATTGATTGGTTTATCCAGTTTTTAACACTTTGTCTCAATTAAAAAGTTAAACTTCTGACTAATTCCACTTTAGAATCAGGCAATGGACATCAAATCAGACAGGGTCTATTATGTGATACTCATAGTTCAAATATTTGAGCAACAGAATGTGTTGTCCACTAAGAACATATGGAAATAACCCAGTGGTCTAATGATTTCTAAGCTTGCAACACAGATAGACTACAAAATTATTTTGAGCACTTCAAACAGAATGCCAGACATCCCAGTGTTTGACTTTTGCCACACATGCATACAGGCTGTAGCCTTACACTGACAACTGAAAATTAGTAATATATTAGAGAAAACTTTTTGAACTGAATAGTCTTCTGAGGGCTTTTCTTCCGGGCAAATACAGATACTTGCTTTTAATTATTTTAGAGCTGAGCATGCAAGAATTATGTTTTAATTATTACTCCATGCCTTGTAGCCTAATTCTCAGAGAGTGGGTGGCTGCAAGCGACCTGTAGTGTCTGAGAATAGGGCTACATGCAGTGCTCAACACAGCAAAACAACATGCAGCTTAATAGGGTGTTTTTCTTTTACATGCCAGCCATGTCAAAGTTTTCTTTCTCTGATCAGTGATGAGGTTCTTCATTACACTGATCATTCAGTCAAACAACAATTTATGTAATACTGTAACAAATATGGACTTGGAGATGACAGTAGATCAAAGATTATAAAAATAACTTAAATATTTGAACAGTAAAATTAAATGGACATTTTGTACAAACATCTATTCCTATTTGAGTGAGTTAGTTTTAATTACTTTTTTGCCTCAATATAAATAATACTACTCTAGTGACTAACATTTCCCTAAAAAGGGAAAAAAAGCATGCAACTCAGTTGGAGAAAAACGACCTTCTTATTTGTGTCATTATTCTGTATATGCTGCCCTGTTAACTATCATGATTTCTTGTGAGGAGAAATGTTGATGAAAGGGCTTGTGAGTTTTTGTGCAGTTGCCCGTTCCTGTTTAGGTCTGTCTCTTGTGCCAGCTGAAGCTTTGTACTGCTGAGGACTACTGTAAGTCCTAGTCAATGGTGAGCTGCTAGGAGAAGCAGACAGGCTGGAAATATTGAGCTTTGACCCACTTGATGATCGTATCCAGTCATCCTTAAACACCTGGATTGATAAGTGAGTCACGTGACTGGATAACTTGTTTGTTACATGGGCTAACACCATCTACCAAAGAAGACATTTTACAAGTTAGAAGAGTTCAATATAACTCAAAACAAAACCAATATGCTTCACAGTTAACTGTTAATACTAAGAAGCTCGGACTGGTCTGTTCATTTTATCACAACTCTGAATAATAAACGTAACATTGTCAAAATTTACCAAAAGATAAATAGAAGACCTTTACAAAGCTGGAGGGATGAGAAAGCTTAAAAGACAAAATAGTGAATGAAATGAAATGGATGCAAGTCCATATGAATATGAGGGCAATTAAGGATTGACACTACAAGTGATAGGCAATATAAGTACACCTTTTAGTATACGATTTTTACAGGATGTTTTCTAATAATGTACATATGTAGTTTGTACATATTTGATTTCTGGTGTCTGAACACTGCAAGTAACGTATCCTGTAGCATATACATTCGCATACCTGCTCACTTGCATCTCTTCTTATTCTCACATGCAGGGAGCCAGCCTACAAAAGTTTAATGAGAAATGTTAGTAGCAAATCCCCCCAAAATGGATAATCTTAAGTAGAGAACAATGTCCCTGAGCTGAGAATCTGTTACTACCATTTTAAAGATCCAAAAGGAAAGGATTAACCTACAAAAACTGTCCTGTAATTATAATTGAAGGGGTGAGTGCAAAACCATGCTAAGTGACGATTTGGGTGAAAAAAAAATTTTTCGTGAAAGGGCTTGAATTTTTGCATGCGGTCTTCAATGTAATAGAAAAACGTGGTCCTGTATTTTTGTCACTGGTTTTTGCTTCATTTATAAAGATGCCACTAGGAAAACCGAGTGGTTTTTCTGCATACGCAATATCTCGAAAACGAAGCGAAGCTTAGTGGAAAAACTACGGGACATTGTTAAACATACCTACACAAAACTGTATGGGAAATTTGGAGCATTTTCCACAAAGTTCACTTTTGATTAAAATACCTAGCGCCCTTTTCCCGCCGAGGTCTTCAAATAAACGAAGCCGGACCTTTGTTATGATAAACAGAGCCGACCC